GGCCACAATTTATAATTTTTGTTCAAAACTGAAAAATTGAAATTTCGTTTCGATGATTTTTTATTAAATAAAAACGACTAAATATTTAAAAAATATATGTTATTTTATTTTAATTATCTCTTTATTTTGTATAATAAATATTTCATAGATCAGTAGTAATTTTCCTTATTTTCATACTTTTTTTTGCGTTCCGCTAAATCTGCCGGTGTGTGTAGGTCTAGTTTCATCTATTTTCATATGTACACTTTAACGTGACTCACACTGTATTATAAACTGACAGAGTTCACAATTTCACGTTGACAGATATATTACGCAGATCAGTCTTTTATAAATAACTAGCTGACCCGGCGAACTTTGTTCCGCCTTAATGGCAATAAATAATCAGACTTTTTTTTAATTTCGAACGGGATAAAAAGTATCCTATGTCCTTCTCCTGGCTCTAAACTACCTCCCTGACAATTTTCAGCTAAATCGGTTCAGCCGTTCTTGAGTTATAAGCGAAGTAACTAACACGACTTTCTTTTATATATATAGAGTATACCTACTTTCCCATTTGTTATAAAAGGTATCACGTCTATGCATCAGCTTTTCATTATTGGCATCTAAAAAAATCGGAATGGATATTATTGGGTCTAGAACAGCAATGCTAGAGCTGGTCTCTTTCCTTAGCATAACTAAGACCATAAACTGACCAAATAGTAATTTATGAATCAAGCTCTACAGTGATAAAACTTAGCTTATGAATACAATGACTTATGCCCGTTTTCCGCCGCGAAACCATGACAACGAAAGAATTTCAATACATCTCTGCGTTTACTTGGCCTCGTTGCTAATGTGGTGATGTGATTTCAGATAATTATATTGAAATCATTTCGCTGTCATGGTTTCGCGGTCGGAGATGTGCTACAGGCGTTAATCTCTTATTTTTAAGTGACCCCTATGGTAACAAATAACATGCATTTTGTTTTCATAGGGATCACTTAAAAATTAGGGATTGATGGTGAAAACGGGCATTAACCTCTTAAGTTACCTCAATATTTCCAGTGCGATTAGGCTCGTCAGTCTGTTTCCCGATCTTCAAAATGAAGACATCTTTGTCTGGATGCAGGACCTTTTGAGCCTGGACTCCCTTGGGAGCGTCGTTTGGAGTGACGTTGCAGACGTTACATAGCGTCTCGTGAGCTTCATTCTTGCTGTAGGTCAGCTCTGAGTTCAGAGCAGTTCTGTTGGTGAGGGCCTCGCAAATGTCGTCGGGGATCTGGGAAAATTGATATTTTATTTAGTTACCAGGCCGCTACCAACCGGGCAACATGGAAAGAATTGGGGGAGGCCTGTGTTCAGCAGTGGACGTCCTATGGCTGAGATGATGATGATGATGATGATGATGATGATTTAGTTTCAAGTTATAATTTGCAGAAGACTGATGATTGGGTATAATGACTTATACCTGTGAAAAATCCAAGATTGATATTCCTAACACGTTGACTGCCAAAGTAAATTTACTAATTCTAATTCAATTGATGTGTAATGGCTTGAAATGAATAGTTATTGTTAAAAAATATTTTTTTACTATTTATATTGACATATTATACCCATAAAAAAACTGTCAGCTACCCGTGCCTGACGCGGCCCGAATGGTATAAATTTCAGTCACAGCGCCATGTCAAGCATTTTGTCAGGCACAACAAAATCACGTTTCTGCGTTTTGGCGGTAACTACCGTGTCGCATCGCTTTCCTCGCTTTAGCCCTCGTGAATACTATCGCTCTGTCCGGTTGCTGTCGGTCAACTGTCAAATGGCAATGCCAGATTTTGTATGGAAGGTGGCGTCTTTTTTTTTTCGCGCGGCCATCTACCAAACTTTGTTTTTTGATTACAAAATAGTGTAATAAACCAAACTTACTATAGCATGTATACCTCTAAACTCAGTCTGAACTGAGTTACGAGCATTAGAAGTTTAATGATTTTCATACTAGATTTGCTTTTTGCGCGCAAGTTTTGTAAGAAATTGCAACAAAATATTGCGCTATTTTTTTATTGCGCTGATTCTGCTGCATACTGATGTCTGGAGCCTTTAATGGATGGTATTGTTTGTTTACACATACAATGTCATTATTTTGTTGCAATTTCTTACAAAACTTGCGCGCAAACAGCAAATCTAGTATGAAAATCATCAAACTTCTGATGCTCGTAACTCAGTTCAGACTGAGTTTAGAGGTATACATGTCATAGTAAGTTTGGTTTATTACACTATTTTGTAATCAAAAAACAAGGTTTAATCGATGGCCGCGCGAAAAAAAAAAGACGCCAATTTCCGGCATTGTCTTTTCGGTCGTGTAAAGTCGAGAAAGACAGCAAGTTATAACTTACTCTCTTCAAAGCCCTAATCAGCCTAATTTTTGTCTGTAATGTTTCAATTTTTTACAAAAATAATAATTTTAATAATTATGCTCAATAATTTATTCCGAAATATATCGTAAACTTGTGATTTTATTAAGAATTTCAAATATTTGTCGTGTTTGTACTAAAATTTTCATTCAAACCTGTGTTAATTTTTATTTAGGTACAAGAGTTGCAGGCCATGCTGAACATACTTTGTTGGGGGCCACGTCAGTCATTTAAAATAGGAAGTAACGCATTAAACGTAGCAGGCGGCCTACTGCGGTCGTTTGATTTAGATGCTTCAGTGTCAGGCTCCAGTGACTGACATGGCCTGAATAGGTTGCATGTTTGTCAGTCACCGGTGACTGTCATGGCAGCCTACGTGCTAATCTAATAACTTGGTAAAATTTTAATGTAAAGTTAAAAATAAACAATGGAGCTCGCTAACGAGAAATATTGAATGATGAATAATGACTTGACTGGTGACATAATTTGATGCAACACATATCAAACAAGTCACTATTTAGGCCAGTAGAATTAGATTTTAAATCGGAAATAATTCCTACAAAAGATTTTATTGCTTTAATGGCTTCATTGGTTGCCCATTAAGACTCTCCCAGGTTTTCGACTTCGACGGAGTTGTGCAGCTCGTAAGCCTTGATAGGGTTAAACTGGTTGAGGCGCTCCTTTTAAAGACTTGGAAGCCTGCGGGTAACGAGCCATTGGACGTGGAGAGGGTCATTAATTATACACATATTTTCTACTTTGCCGAACATTTGCACGAGAACGATTTGTCCAAAACATATGAATTTGGTCTTATTTAATGCAGGATTAAATGCCTTTCAACCGTCAGGAAGACCACTTTTCGATAGGGTGAGTCCTTTACGCGGTATAACCGGAAAACCGAAAAGGGGCCCCCACCACTTAAGCACAACTCCGTCGAAGTCGAAAACCTAGGAGAGTGTTAATGGGCAACCAATGAAGCCATTAAAGCAATAAAATCTTTTGTAGGAATTATTTCCGATTTAATTCATTTTTGTGTTTAATTCTACTGGACTATTTATGTCACAAGGACACCATTGCTACGAGCAATGTCTTTTGTTTTTGGGCATATTGCTGCGACACTGGCCCCGCCTCCTTTTCACATCTCCCTTTAGTTTCTGTGATCTGTGGGTGCTTCAGTGGGTGCTACATAAGCTCTCAGCTTTGGAATTCTTGTACCTGTAAGTGCAGCTGGTTTGCCGGGCCACCATCTTCCTCGCCGGGCAGCCCGCATGTCTCAGAGCACACTGAAGCTCCATCGTCGCAGGTGCACTGCTGCTGCAGCTTCAGCTGGGAAGGCGTCAGTTTTGGAGGCTTGGAAGTGCTCTTTGGAACCCTTATCTTCACCTGAAAAACATTGCCTTGGTAGTCCAGTCGCGTGCGCCGCCATATTGGAAAAACTGCGCCTAGTAGCATATTTTGTTTAATATCTTCTTTCCTATTCATATAATGATATAAATAATTTTACAAAAATAAACTACAGAAAATTTTTACTTCTATACTAGTCTATACTAATATTATAAATGCGAAAGTAACTCTCTCTGTCTGTCTGTCTTGCTTTCACGCCTAAACCACTGAACCGATTTTGATGAAATTTGGAATAGAGATAGTGTGAGTCCCGGGAAAAGACATAGAATAGATTTTATCCTGTTTTTTGAAACAGGGACGCGAGCGATATGTAAACACAATTTATAAACAACTAGCGGCCGCCCNATGCTCGTAACTCAGTTCAGACTGAGTTTAGAGGTATACATGTCATAGTAAGTTTGGTTTATTACACTATTTTGTAATCAAAAAACAAGGTTTAATCGATGGCCGCGCGAAAAAAAAAAGACGCCAATTTCCGGCATTGTCTTTTCGGTCGTGTAAAGTCGAGAAAGACAGCAAGTTATAACTTACTCTCTTCAAAGCCCTAATCAGCCTAATTTTTGTCTGTAATGTTTCAATTTTTTACAAAAATAATAATTTTAATAATTATGCTCAATAATTTATTCCGAAATATATCGTAAACTTGTGATTTTATTAAGAATTTCAAATATTTGTCGTGTTTGTACTAAAATTTTCATTCAAACCTGTGTTAATTTTTATTTAGGTACAAGAGTTGCAGGCCATGCTGAACATACTTTGTTGGGGGCCACGTCAGTCATTTAAAATAGGAAGTAACGCATTAAACGTAGCNGCATCGGTATCGATCACTAATCACCCCCTGATAGTTATTTTGAAAATATATTTCATGTACAGAATTGACCTCTCTACAGATTTATTATAAGTATAGATAACAACACAAAACGAAAAGGAAAAAAAATCGGTGGGCCACTGCGCCATTAAGCGGGACTCCTGCTCAGCATTTATCTTGACAAGAAGTTGGTCTTAGGAGCACTAATTCTATCGGATCTGTTCGCTTATTACTTACAATGATGACCAAATTGGATGCCTAATAATGAATTTACCTTAGAATTTACGGATAAGTTTTTTAGAACCCAAATAAATTAAACGTTTTTACCTCGTTGCCATTGAATATCGCGCCGATTTCTTCATAAGGTTTGCGTGGTTTCTTTTGTTTTTCGTCTTCCTTACCTTTCACCATTATGTAACACAATTTATGAACCCGAAAATACAATCGAAAATTTTAACCCAAATTTTTTAGTGAAGCGTCATGAAATTATAGATGACATTTCGTGAGCCCATAAAGTAACTTGTAAGAAATTTGGAGGAAGGAAAGAAGTTTGGACAATATCATAGAGAAAAGAAAATAACACCCTTCGTGCAAAATGGAATAAGGCCCGGTTCCCACCAAGGCGGAGCCTTGCATTAAATTTAATTTTAAATCTATATACAGGGTGTTTCTTNTATATAAAAGAAAGTCGTGTTAGTTACTTCGCTTATAACTCAAGAACGGCTGAACCGATTTAGCTGAAAATTGTCAGGGAGGTAGTTTAGAGCCAGGAGAAGGACATAGGATACTTTTTATCCTGTTCGAAATTAAAAAAAAGTCTGCTTATTTATTGCCATTAAGGCGGAACAAAGTTCGCCGGGTCAGCTAGTTTTCTATAGAGTTTGACAGCGGCGCGGTGGCGGAGCTGTGCCGTGGCTGTGCGGAGTGTAGACAAGGAGTGGGAATAATTAAATCTGATTGGTTTTGAACACACTTATCTGCTCCGTTTTGGTGAAAACCGGGCTTAAGTAGTCGCTGGCAACAAATTGATTCATTTTTTACCATTATTTATGAGCGTCTACCTGCTTTGGTACTTAGGTTAAAACTTCATACATAGAAAAACCAATGACTCTTTCGCAGGAGCCGAGAGACGAGGGAGAAGCGCTTATGTAGGTACTTATGATAATAAGTGGGTAGTGACAATTATCTTTTAAATCCATCACCAAGCCTATAACCACTTTAACTGCCCTCATCTCCTCCCCAATTCAGTGTCTCTGATAGTCCTCTTGATTTCACCAGGCCTAACTTCAAGACCGTTAATTTTCGTTGTTAGATTAAAAATGAAACAAAAGCTGGTGTTAATTTATATTCATATGTTACTATACATCGGAATCACTTCATTTCGGCCTAGAGGTTTTAGGTTATTCTTAACATTAGTAGAGCATTTCACTTTCTCTTCTTTTTGGGTTTCATGCAGCAGCATGGTGGGGGTTCAGGGTCGCACTGTGTCTCTCTGGTGTCAATGCGACACATAGGTTTTTTCTCTGGTCCCTTAGGTGTAACTAGCTCAAGCTCCATTTTACAACGACGATCACCCGTTGGTCCCACTTTGGCAACCTAAAAATTCGAAGTTAACAGAGTTGGATGACAAAACGTTGAACTAGACTATGTATTTATGAAACACTAGCTTTTGCCCGCGTGAAATTTCGTTTGCCAAAGATCGTCATAAATTATAGCCTATATGTTATTCTGGATTATAAACAGTAATACTGTAAAGTTTCATCAAAATCCGTTCTGTAGTTTTTGCGTGAAAGAGTAACAAACATCCAGACATCCAGATATCCAAACTTTCGCATTTATAATATTAGTAGGATATTGGTTGCGACCAATCTAAATAAGAGGTGGGATAAAATGTAAAACATGTAGGTATTAGGAATTCACAGCATCTGACTAATCATGAGTCAACAAAAGAAGAGAGTCCGATGTCCTGATAACACTTGCGTAGTACCTACTCGATAAGTACCTAGTTTAACACTGTAAATATGAAAAGGAGTAAGTATAGTAGAGAATATGGGTTACCTTTAGAACAAACACGTCCTTCCGAGGGTGCAATATGGACTGAGCTGCTCCCGGCCCCGGGACATTCGTAGGGACCATGTTGCAGAGCCACGGACATGGCCCCTTGTTTTCCTTCTTCGGTTTCCCTTGTACTTGAACCCCTTTAGCGCTTTTTAGAGACATTGTTATTGATTTTGAGAGAAGACTAGAATTTTGAATGACTCGCCGCTTGTGCAAGATGACAATGTGATTAATGTGACAGATCCTGACAGGTCATTGTTTTTTAACAAATTAAAAAAGAGGAATGAAATGGGAAATGGCGGCAAAGGAGTAACTATCGTTTATTACAATTTCGTTTTCAATCCAGAGAACACCAGCTAGTCCCGTCCTAGAGCCAGCTAGAGAGCTACCCTAGACTTTCGTATCTTTATCACAAAGTCCCTGTTTCCCTTAGTTAGTAGGTAAGGGACTTACCTGTAGCATTTGCCTCTATTTTTTTAAAATTCAACCACAGTAACATTTAGAGTAGGCGCACACCGTTGATTTTTAGTTGGCCGATAGTTGTGCCCGATTTTCAACCGACTTCAAAAAAAGGAGGAGGTTCTCAATTCGACCCGTATGTTTTAAAATGTATGAAGAATCGGCCAAATCGAATCGGCGTAGTGTGCGCACTCCCATACATGTCCATACTGATCAACTGCCCGACTAAACTATCGGCCAACTAAAAATCAACGGTGTGCGCCTACTCTTAATTTTTAACCGACTTCAAAAAAGGAGGAGGTTATATGTTCGACTGTATGTATGTTTTTTTTTTCTATGTATGTTCACCGATTACTCCGTCAATTGTGGACCGATTTTCAAAATTCTTTTTTTGTTCGATAGGGTACACTTCTGAGGTGGTCCCATTGTCACCAAGTCAGGATCTGATGATGGGATCCTAGAGAAATCGACTGCAACCCTCAGATTTTATAGGCACGTATATCGTTTATCAAACATTTACTTAAGTTATTCAAGTATTTGCTTCTGGAAATCATCATCTCAAATTGATGAGCTGATGATAGAAAGTAAAACTCCTTAATGCATAGGAGTTGGAGGATAATTCTTTTAATTTTATAGATAAGTATAGTTTCTTAAGTTATTCAAGTGTTTGCATCAGATAGCCATCATCTCATCACGATGAACTGGTCATGGTACCTACCATGACCAGTTCATCGTGATGAGATACAACTAATAAGCGTTAAGGAGTTGTACCTACAACTCCTTAACGCTTAGGAGTTGGAAGATAATTCTTTAAATATTATAGGTACAAATAGCCCAACAGTTGTATTCTTTCAAGTTTTTAAGGTGGGCTGACGGTTTAAGGTCATTTTAGGTTGCCGATATGGTAACCTGTATTTTGTAGAGAATATTATTTTACACTTGACATGAAGAATATACTGCCTACCTTTATTGGTAACACCAAGGTAATAATTAGTTAACTAAAAAGCAAGAAATAAGTTAATTTTTATAATAAAAAAATATAACCGACTCCAAAAAACATACACTTAAAAGTAGAAAAATAATTACTAATTACTTATTTATTATTAGGACGAATTAATATTTATGTATACCATGATTGATACTTTTGGAGTCGGTGCAGGCAAACTTCACACGTTTCATTATCTTGGCACCGACTCCACAAGTATCAATCATGGTATACATAAATATTAATTCGTCCTAATAAATAAGTAATTAGTAATTATTTTTCTACTTTTAAGTGTATGTTTTTTGGAGTCGGTTATATTTTTTTATTATTAGATTCGATTGTTAGGCTGAGATGCACCACCTAACTTCAATCGTAACGTAACTATAACGTTAACCGGTGCTTTCTGTATGGAGTTTGACAGATTTTTGATGTTTGTTAAAGTTAAAGTAAGATAGTGCATGCACCTCAGCCTTAGTTATTAAAAGGATGAACATGTTGCGAACTGTAATGCTCGGTTCGCCTCCCTCACTGAATGCTCGAGTCGATCTACATTATATCGTTAACAGGCAAAAAAAGACTGCAACACCATAATTTTAGCGAATTTCTGAAATAGGTAGTTGTTTTAATGCTAATTGTGGACTGCCAATGATTTTCCTACTAGACATATCCCCAAAGTGTACTTTTTGATACAATGAAAATAATATCTACACACCTCTAAATAATGTTCTACATTTTAATAAAACTGATTGCCGTATGTACATGGAAGGTGACGAGTGAATCCAGAACCTAAAACAATCGAACAAATTATTTGTCTGTTTGCCTGTCTTTGCGTTTGTGCACGCTAATTTTAGAAACGGCTGAACTGATTCGAGTGCGGGCAACTAACTCTGACATAAATAAATAGCGCAATTGGCCCTTATTTAAATTTAGAAACGCATAGAAACCGGAAAATACTTTTTATTCGCTTACAACATAATATTCTTCGCTATCATCTTCAAAATTTCATTAACACTGGCACTATACCTATGAGTGGTAATAAATTATTATTACTGTTTTTACGAGACTTGGTAATATCATTAAATCCTTCTTCTTATTCCTGATCAGAAAAATGCTTCATTAGAGATATCGTTCGTTTGGGATGCAAAGAGCAGTGCCTGCCATGAATCGAGCTGTGCCAACTTACCAATTCAGATAAAATAATAAAACAAGAAATCTTTGTGTTCCATAAATGTGTTTATTGTGATAAATTCAGAACTGATTCTATATTTAATCGCAGCAGGATGAGCAACTCTTGCAACATTTCGGCGATTTACATGAGGATATGGAGCAACACTTTCGCGGTGGGCACAGCGGCATGCCGTTACAGGTAGGGCACGGCCCAGGGACGCTGCGACAACGCACTACGGGGCATGTCTTCGAACGGTTGCAGCATGGGGATATGCGTTTCCGGTGAGCTTTTATTTTTGGTGAGCTTTTACTTTTTCTAGTCTTTTTTCGACCAACTGGACACGGTCTCAAGCAAGGCGAGCTCTTACATGGAGAACTGCAAGGACTTTTGCAGCAAGGCAACGAGCATGGAGTGCTACAGGGCGAAGGCGGGCAGGGGGCACAGAGTGCGGGGGGGCATGGCATGCAGGGGCCACACGGCGATGGTGGTCTGCAACGCTTGCACGCTCGGCATGGTGACGGAGGACATGGCCTGCAACGCCTGCATGCCTTGCAAGGTGAAGGTGGGCGGCAAGGTTTTGGCTTACAAGGTCTACAAGGTCTGCAAGGCGGAGGTCTACAAGGTCTGCAAGGTGGAGGTCTACAAGGTCTGCAAGGCGGAGGTCTACAAGGTGGAGGTCTACATGGCGAAGGTTTACAAGGCGGAGGTCGACAAGGCTTGCAAGGGTTACATGGCGAGGGTATGCAGGTCATGCAAAGGCTACAAGGTGAAGGTGGACATGGCTTGCACGGTTTGCACGGTTTGCAAGGTGGTGGTGGACATGGCTTTTTAAAGATCTTGCGTGGTGGTGGACAAGTTCTACAGGGTCTGCAACATACTGGCTTGCAAGGTCTACAGCGTGGGGGAGGGCATGGCTTACAGGCCCGACATGGCTTACACGGTTTGCAAGGTTTGCAAGGTCGGCAAGGTTTACCGCCGCATGAAACTTTGCAGCATAGCTTACATGGCACAGATCGACATGGCAATGGACCGCACGGCTTTCTGCACCCCTTTGGCTTGCATGGTGAAGGACGGCAGACAATCATTTTACATTTTGAAGGTCGACAGGGCACCGGCGGTACACAGGGAACTGAACAGGGTAGTCCACATGATGGGGGCCTTGAAGGTGGTGGTGTCCATTCTAACATCAGTTCATTCTTTGCCAATGGAGCTCCAGTGATTCTACGAATTACCAATTCAAATACTCCGCGTCGAGGGTTAGTCATTGTAGTTATTTTAACAGGAGCTTGTTCCTCCCCTGATGAAGCGACTATACATTTAGGTCCTTGACATGGTTCTTTTCCATGAACCGGGCAAGGCTCTCGAGGACCAAGCCTTATATGTGACACAGTGGCTACCATTTCGCCTTTAACAACAGAAGCTACAGCAGGACATGGTTTCTCCATTGGACATGGCTTCTCTTCTTTTATAGAAACAGTCTTTGTACAAGTTCCAGCAGACGCCCCTTTTGATTTTCTGGTTTGTGCTGTTCTTGATTCGTTTGTAACTGGCATGGTTGTTGTTTGTTCAGTTCTGTGGCGTTTCGATTTGGATCCAGAACTTCCCATCCCCAATTTTTCTGTTTTTGATTCGTCTTTCTTCCTTCCAAAGAAATATACGTCAGAATATCTCATTTTGTCTAATTTTCTGTTTTCACGATATGGACTTTCTGACATCGCGTATGATGAATAGCAATGTGGGCTTATACCTAAATTTCCTGGCTGGTAAGTAGTATCAGTTAAACTATTATTGCAACACACTTGTAGACATTTGTTTATAGAGGCTGTAGCCTGTGTTCCAGTAGTTGACTGAGTTGAGTTTTGATAGCGACAAAATTCATCAAATAGTGTCATATAAACAGTAGTCTCTTTTTTTCCAAATATCTCGTTGCCTGCGAAGAAGTCTTGTTTGCAGTTTTCATCTTTTATACTATGTATGGAATGATGCGACTTAGAAACGTAATTAATGGTATCTGAGAATGATACACTGCGTCTTTTAGACCTTATGGTACTTAGTGATGTAGCTGAATACTTTTCACTTGCTGAATATAGTTTGTATGGTACTTTCAGGTGATCATCAGATATCTCAAAGTACTTATGAATTGAACTATTGATTGGAAGTTTCATATAGTTGTAATTTTCAATCACAGATTCATGGTTTCTATATTTATCAATATCCTTAGAAGATGCTCTTATTTCCAATTTTTGCTCTTCAGTGAGATCTTGTGTTATCGGCAAATTCAGCAGAGTACCTACGACCAGTTGACGACAATTTAGAATTGTTAGAAACCAAACCAACTATTAACTCTAAAAGAACTTACAAAATGATATAAAGGGAGACTAAAAAACCATCATCTGACAAATATATTTAATTAAAGAAAACGTTTTTACATAAAACAAATAAGCGAAAAACCAATGTTAATTTTTACGTCTGGCTAATTTAGAAGGACAACAGTCTGGACAATATGGAATGCACTGGGCTGTACGCGTATCTCTAACGGGCACTACTTTTTCTCTTGTCATGATAGGTGTTATAAATTGGTATTCTAGCTTCGATTTTCGACCTGGCATCTCAACAGTCTTCCCAACTCTTAATTTAATTACTTGATCAGGAAAGTCATAAACTACTCCAGGATAATCTTCAGCGTTAGTGGGCATCAGCTGACCAGGTTCATCTCTTGCCATATCGCCAACACCATCTGAGTTGATGTTAAAGTACATGCGTTGCTTGTGGCCCATGCCGCAAGTGTCTGACGGCATTTGGAATATCACCTTGTTCCCCGTCGGGCAGCAATCTGTACAATCGGTGATCGTATCAAGCTATTGCAAAACGGTTAATTACGGGGAGTACAATTTCAATCAAACAATTTTCCTTAGAGAAGTAGGTATACCTAATAAGTGACTAACTAAGAATTTAGAAAAATAAATATTTTAAATTCTAAGCATTAAACGTTACTATTTTGAGTTTTATTTGCAATTTTAACGTCTCTTTTTCCCCTTTGGTTTTTTCAGTCTCCTCACGCAACAATCGCAATCAGCGTCTGATTGTAATCTCATGTTTACTTTTTGAACAGGTGGCTTTTTATCTGGTCCTTTGGGTGTGACTAGTTCAAGTTCTAGTTTGCATTTTCTATCACCTTGCATGGCTGTCTTTGCCACTTTTAATACAAACGTGTCTTTGTTGCCAGGGTCTTGTTGTTTGACATCACCACGTGCTAAAGCAGCTTGTTGCCCGTGCTTAGATGCTTGAGTACAACCTTCAGTTGTACAAGTGAACTGAGTATCGGCAAGTCTAGCTCCGCGACAGCAAACATCCTCATTGGGTAATGCCAAACTTATTTGATTTTTCCCACAAGGTGGTAGACATGGTCCGCCATCAACCCCTTTGGCATAAGGGTATGACATAGCACAATGCGTCTGACTCATCTTCTTGATAATCGATGCGGAAGCTGGTACTTTGATCTTAAGCTCGTTTCCACCAAGGTTTGTCCCTATCTCTTCGAATTGTTTACTGCGACCTGGCCATCAATAAATTTCGCTGATGCATTCAGTTTAGATAACTCTCCGATACATAAATTAATTACATTTGTCCAGAACAGTCCTATCTCAAAAAATAAATATTGGATCCTACTAATTTTGAATGGAAAATTAAGAAATTTTAAAGGAGTGGAGGGATATAAACTACAAATACTATCATTAGGCTATGTTTGACTATTGATAAATATCTAATTAAGACGTCTAAACTATTAGTTCAATATTTTTTAAAAATTAAGTACAGAGTAATTATAATAACAATAGTCAAACAACTGCAAAAGTAATGGAAATATGTATAAATTGGGCTCACCTTTCGGTACATGAAGGCAATATTGATCAGTGTTTCTACAGACCATTGGTTGTTTAGTAGGAGGTTTAGGCCCAGTGCAGTAACAAGGATCATCAGGATCCTGACATGGCATCGTGTTATACGGATCACGGGCTGTAAAAAGTGGAAATATAAATGTATCGGTAACTAGTACTAATTGGTTAAGAAGAAACATTACAAGCAGGTAGGTATGCGAAGTCCGTAGCAATTACCTGGAGGGCAGACGCCAAAACCACCACCCCCAGCACCGCAAGTGGAACAGGGAGCACCACCAGCGCCGCCTCCACCACTTGCTCCGGCGGCGCTGCCCTGACCTCGGGCTGCCCCACAAACACAAGGATCGTTTGAAGTTTGGAAATCCCTTCGAGGGTTGCAGGAACGGTCGACAATTGCGTTACCGCCAGAACCAGCGCCAAGATTTGGAGGACCACCACCCCCTTGGAATCTCGTGATTATCAATTTTCCGAAACATGATATACGCAAGAACATTACGATTTCACCAGTTTCCGCTCCATCTGGCCCAGTAATTCTGAAAGAATCCTTCAGTGCCTCATAGCTTACAGTCGTCGGGTCTTGCAGAAACTTTTTACGAGCCTCTACAAACTCCTTGGTCATATCAATTGTAGCCTCACCCATTACAATTTTGGTCGGCAAGCATCCACAAGGGAGGGATTTGTACACTGATATTTTTATAGGAAATTTGCTCATTGCTGAAGATATGTCAGATTCTTTGAGGGAAAACAGACATGATTTTCCATTGTTAAAAGTTTTCACGAACGGTCCTCCACTTTTGGCGACACAAGCTCCAGGGTCATCGTCACAAATCTCCAGTGGCTCGACAGCTGGGCATTCTATATTCACGCAAGTCCTGAAGTCCTTGTCGGAGAAGCAGGGGCTTTTAACGAATACAATTTTGTCGATCAGCACTTCCAGGAGGAAGAGCCCGTCATCCTGCTTCGCCATTCTGGGTTTGTTTTTGGGGATGGGAAATTTTATTAGTTATGTTTTTTTCAAAATTGTATGATCATGCTTAAAATTTTGACAACTATAAACAAAAGAATTTTGTGAGGCCCATTGCCAGAAAATGTCATCAAGTTTTTCTTCTGGTCGTGATAGACAATAATTACCAAAAAGTGGCATTGCAAATTATTATCATACACCAAGATAATCGACATTACAGGGTGTCCCAGAAAGTGAAATCAAGCGTGATCAAAATATTCCTCCCAGGATTAGCTGATTCACTTCTATTTGTGTAAGATGTTTGAAACTTTCGATTTATTGTGATAATAACATTTGCCTACAATATAAAATCTGATTTATTCCAATTCCTTCAGACACACTATCCTAACTGGAAATCCAACTTGTAAGTTGGTAGAATTCAACATACTAACCACGGGAACACTAAAGTTTATAGAAAAGAGCATTAAAAGTCAGTTCGTATTATGTTCAGCAATTTATTCAATTCTTCTACAAGTTTTTTACTTTGAAAATTTACGCATAATGCAGTCATACTTTACAGAGGGATAGTTTTCGTTGTACCAGTTGCACGCTTCATTTTGGAAAGGCCGTCCGACCCTGAAAAACAAAGAGCCTTAGCCAAGTTCGCATTTTACCTTTAAAACTTGCTGAAAAGATGACGACTTAAGCTCAGATTTAACCGTTAGTAGCAAAATTCAACAATTAGTTATTTTAACTATGATTTTTTTGATTCATAGTTAAAATAACTAATTGTTGAACTAGGCCTTAATACTTTAGATAAAATATAACATAAATAGGTACACAGTTACAAATGAAGGCTAACGGCTAACCAGTATAATACATTTAATTCAAATAACTTATTATAAACCGGATCAAATCATCTTAGTTACGAATATCACGTCGGCCATTCTCAGATGAGCTAGTTTTTGCGTGTCCGGGCTGTTAAATCGTTAAAAATGACAAAATAGAGACATGCAAGTATTTTTATATGTTACTTAACAACCCTATCCAGTTGTGCATTAAATCATAGGCCTTTATTTTAAGTATTTGTGTCTAAATTAATTTTACGAACCTCTGTTCTCTAATTACCGTTNATTATAATGCTATTATACTGCTAATGTACAGCCATAGTGAACTTAAAGCTGTCTAATTTGTGCCCAAACTGGTTCTATAAAAGCATTATAGCAAGCTATACAGCTCGTATACAGCTGACATACACAGCTTGTGGAGTACATGTGAACGACTATTGAACTCTTAAATGGAGTAAAATGTTACTTGGGTAGTTTGTCTAATTCCACAAGTTAAATTAAAAAAACAGTCATTGAAATATTAAAAAAATTCACGCTACACTCGTAAGATCTTTTGCTCCTTACGAAAAAAGCTTTAGGTTCGTTAGTCAATCTACGGGTGATAATTTTAACTCATTGACGTCATACCTAAGAGTCATACCTTAGCATAGCCTACTCCGAATAATGTAGGTTATTAAGTAGAATATGGTGGCCGAAGAAAATTCGAACATCACAAAACATTGCAAGTGTGTATAAAAAACAATGACTAAGTAGGTATATGAATCAGAAATAGAAATGTTTATGTATGTGTTACAGGAAATGTATGAATTCTAGGAATTGTATAAAACTCCTAGGAAATGTATACGATTCCTAAGCTAATGAAATGTATAAAATATTGATTCAGATATTATTTAATACGCACATTATCCTAGGAAATGTACAGTTCCTAGGAATTTTATAAAATTCCAATATCGTATTAGAAAATGTATAAAACGAATGCTATGTGTGAATAAAATAAGTAAAACACGTGTATAAATAAAGAATCAGAGTTTTTAGGGTCTCATTGACACAACTATGTATCAATCATACAATAATATAATATCTTTACTTCTTACTAATTCAAGGATCAGAATTTTTATTAAGGCTCTCATTGAGACTAACAAGTTACAATCATACGGTATAATTTAATTTAAGCATAATAAATCAAATATTTATTAATTCTTTAATCGGATGATGCTCTTCTCGCTCACGCACCGCATATCCACGCGTATTCATTGAAATCTTAAAACATAAATTTTACATTTCCGATTGCTGTTTAGGAATTCAATACAATTCCTAGGAATTGTATTCAATGACGGGTTTCATACATTTCCTGTAACATTAAGTCAATAAATAGGTACATTCTAATATTTTCTTACTTGAGGCCCCTAAACTTAAGGCGAAACTGGATTTCGGGAGCCAGATCTTCCCAGTATGTGATCATAATATTCAGTTTGTAGGTAAGTAGGTAGGTAGGTAACTACTAAAATCTTAAAGTTCACAACTTCGAGACGCGACACATGAATCAAGAAATATTTCTTTATTCATTTGTGACGTGAGGTATCGTTTAAAGTACCAAAAAAAAACACTAAGAACCATCTCAATGGCACCTTATTTCAGCGACTATTTACTACGCGTAAACTACTGGTGAAATAGGTAGGTAGGATGTTATAATAGGATAATTTAGCATAAATTAAGTAGTTATGTAGAGACGATAGCGCATCTTTTGTAGAACAACTACGCTAAGTGCGATTTTGCAACCAAGTTCTATTCTATTATATACCTTAGGTTCTCCAGGCTTCTGCTTCAGGCCATCACAAGCATGCTCTCGACGGTACCTTACACAGTCAAGATCATATTGATAAGACCGGGGAAAAACATCTTGGTGAGCTGCAATGATTTTGCCAGTGATTAAGTATTCTTAAAAAAAGTAAATGATTAAGGTAACTAAGAATATAAGTAAGTAACCACGCTAGTGACCAAAGCGTCTACGGTTCTGCCCCTTAAGAGAATCGAACCTGCAATTGCTGGCTTTGTAAGAATTTTAAGTAAGTAAGGTACTTGATACAAATAAGGCCTACCTAACTTTAAATGCTTACTTATATTTCAATAAATATTAACGCCAGTCAACAAAAACAAGGTTAATTAACTTCTTCCATCCTTTAATTATAGCAATATTACAAAAAATAGCACAATTTTTAACTAAATCTATTTAAAATAAGCAAATTACGAAACCACTGTTTTTGGCTTTAATAAATCACCTACACGGAATAAGGCCTATATGATTCAAATGCCTCTAGACCTTAAAATTGAGGTTGTATTAAACAAAATGCGGTCTTATAACATTAAACACGTCGATTTGGTTGCGTTATCAAAATTGTACATAACTACCAAGTAAACAGAAATATCTAAATATATTAAAAGGAGAAACTGACTGACTGACTGACAGATCAACGCACAGCCTAAACGGCTAAACGTAGGCACTTGAAATTTGGAAGGGACGTAGTTTAGGTATATACTAAGAAAGGAATTCCCGAAATTACCACGGGAACGGGAATTAGCGGAAAAATCCTTTTGTATGAAAAATCTAAACCGCTTAAGTTAGTTGCTTGAAATTTGGTGTGCAGGTACCTTAGTAAATTTAAAGCTTAGGTACAACAGGATATCGTAAAATTNTGACCATAAAATTTTTGGGTCTCATTTACGCGAAAACCGCTTTGAATAATTTGACGCCTTTACTATTGTTAAATTCGTACTTTTCATGTGTTTTATATTTAAATGCGTTTAAGTCAATTAAGCCAAATTTCAAAAATAATATGGTAATTAGGCTGAGAACGCCTAATCGTGAGAATGACCGACATACTCGTCCATAGACTTGCGTATCTCTTCAGTAGTCAACGTGGCTGTAAGGTCGGGGTAGTAGCGCCAGCGTTTCTGCCCAGGGTCCTGGGCCCAGGCCAGCTGGAAGGGCGTCAGGCCGGGCACCTTCATGTCTGAACAGTCACGACAGTGCGGACCGACAGCTTTCTGTGATATTTAGTAGTTGTTTTATGTAGCATAATATAAGTGCCTATTCACAACATACAGTAGCATTACTAAGGGTCCTTGCACACCACGTTTTTCAGGCGCCGTCGATGAGTTTTTGCTTGAAAATTACGAGATGTGTAAGGGTCCTAATGAATAGACTCTAGCTAGATGACACATTATGGAGCCAAGAGGATACGAGTAGAAACAAATTCCGACACCTACATTATTAAGAGTGATTGAGTGATTAAGAAATTACAAATGAATTATGGATATAAGTACCCAAGTAACATTTTACNTACTGTATATCTCTAGATAAACTTAAATTCCACTTATTAAGAATAATACATAAATTATAGATACAATTAAATATTCATAGTAACAAAGAAATGATTCCTTACTTAAATTATCAAAAAAAAAAAAAACAAACAATATTACTTTTTTGTATAGGGCTTATTAAAACACCGTGTTCGAATAAGGCCTACACATAAAACCTTTTATATAAATCAGTTTAATAACATCATTTAGCCTTGAATTTTTGTAAACAAAATGAGATCTCAATTTTTGTTAGAACCAGGGCATAAAAAGGCTTCTGAATCATCTTTACGAACTCCTACACAATCTTTGTGATACCACCAAAAGCAGTCCTTTATGGTCGCATATCTGCTACATTGTCTTCGAGACAGGCATGATAATACCAGCTTTTATTCTTTTTTCCTTTAAAATTATATATACGCCTTTTTTTCTTATTTTTTATTGGTTTTGTATTTTGTTTCATTTTTTTTACAGGTTTAGTAATTTTTTCAGCTCTGTTTTTTTTTCTTTTCCCTGCTGTTAGTAACATTCTTATTAAATAAATATTTAGTTACTCTTTGACTCATTTAGTTGAATGAATTTGTCCGTAATCAGGTGTTGACATAAGTATCTAATATGGCCTACCATGCTGAAATAAGGCCTAGGCCTTATTAGATATCTCGCTCTTGTTGTCTTTAAAAAATTACAAATAATGCATCTATAGCCAGTAATACAAATTAAGGTAATTATTAGCTAGTAAGAAATATTTTAAACGATTACTAAGAAAAGCTTAACCTAAAACAGCGTAATTTTACCGAAAATTTAAGATGAAATAATAACCCACCAGGCTCTTCCCGCGACCTTTACCAGATCGTCGGTCCACCTAGTAGGAGGCCTGCCCACGCTACGTTTTCCAGCCCGTGGTCGCCACTCGAGAACTTTCCTGCCCCAACGGCCATCGTCTCTACGAGCTATGTGCCCCGCCCACTGCCACAGCGCAGGACCGTTCATTGTGGAAAACCTTGGGGGAGGCCTTTGTCCAGCAGTGGACGTCATTTGGCTGAAACGAACGAACGAATAACCCACCACCTTAGAATAACGCGTGCCAATTGGTGCTGGGATCGTGGATTGGGACGCTCTTGCACTCTACCGGGTTATAGGGCATAATTATGAGTAGTTACGTGTCCTTGAAGTATTATCCCGGTTAGATTTATTTATCTGTGTTTTCTGATGTATAAGTAGGCCTTATTATAACGTAGGCCTTATTTGTATCAAGTACCTTATGTATTTTGTTGGAATAGTAGGTAAGTGCGGTGGCAGTATTTTTCCAGACTTAAACTTAGGGTAACTAAAGTATCGTGAGCTTATCTTAAAATAGACCTACGCAGATACGTAATTAGGCAAGCTATTTTAATTCATTATCATTGCAAGGTGAGAGCATATTCCTGCGCGTAAATAAGTTACCCCTTTTCTAAGAAACTAAGACTTATCTCGAAGGTTAATGACAACTAAAGGTTGTATCTTTCCTGCGTCACTCATTAGATAAATCGATACTTTCTCTCATAAAGGAAAATACCTATATTGTGAAAATTCTGTTGTATTTCTTGGAATACGCTTTCGGAATCAGTAGGTGGGTGAGATGCTGTCCATTAAAAAATGGGTTACTTTTCAGTTTAGGTTTTTGACTTTGTACATTGTAAGACATTTCAGCATGATTATTAATGAAGACCCACCTGTCTTAATAGGTAGGAACATTGATTATATTTTGTGAAAAAATTATTTGATATTCCTACTTGGTTTCACCATTTCGGTGGTCATCCCGTAGTTGTAATAAGCGTCGTGGAGGGTGTAAGCGTTGGCGCCAGGCTTGTCGACCCAAAAGGCCTTGTCTTTCTTCACCATCTGGTCGATGACTGTGTTTGGCATCTCATCTATAGTTGGACTGTGGACCAATACTTATTTAAGTATCTAGTTAGGTACTACATGCACGATAAGTTAAGACCCGTGAGGATTCTTCTTTACAAACGGCACCAGTTACTTAAGTTAACAACGCAACAGTGATGTCACTATTCTTCAGATCTGATCTTATCATGCCTATCTGCCTTATATTTAATAATAATAATCTGGTGAATTGGTGAAGGTCGCGGGAGGTGCCTGGATGCGAGCGGCGCAGGACCGGTCTTTGTGGAAATCCTTGGGGGAGGCCTTTGTCCAGCAGTGGACGTCTTTCAGCTGAAACGAACGAACGAACGAACGAATAATAATAATATAATAATTATTAGTAAAAAAATAATAATAAAGGCTCACAGGATCCCTTCCTAAGAGTCGTAAAGTGAGCAAAGAAATGCAACATACAATGGTGGAGTTTCTACCAGCTGCCTGGTCAGCGGCTGCAGGTACTTGCCGATAGTCCGCTGAGTCAGGCACGGCGGTCTTCCTGGAGTCAGACCTTCATCCGTTTTTACGGTAAGGGACACGTCGGTAATGGCATATCTAGAAAGAGCTTAGTAAATTAGTGCGAAAGTATATCAATCAATTTTAAAACAAAGCTGGAAACGTTACCGGTTTCACATTTTTGTGAAAAAAAAAAGGATTTAGTAAATAGTTACTAATACGGGAAATATGTAACTTGCTATTACCTACTTTAGGTCTATACTTTACTTAAGTAGGTTAAAAGTTTTAACAACAGTTAGGTATAAGTCCTACGTTCTCAATTCCAACCATTTACTAGATGATAGAAAGAAATACACCCTGTATGACTAAGTAACAGATATATAAATATTCTTTCTCATACGTACTTATCAGGGTGATACCCTGTGAATTTCGAAATATTACTCCTGGGATCACCGGGGTGGTTAGTGTTACATTCCATAATGCGGTGAGAACGTGTAAAAAGTTAAATATAAAAAAAATATTGCACTACATTTAAAAAGCAGAGCTATTGTAGACATTTTCTTGACATGTTTAAATTTTCCCGCTAATATCGATAATGTATGTCACTCACTCAAAGTGGTTACCATGCCAACTGAACACCTTGTCTATTTTCATTTCGATTATCGATTAGACTGATACAATTAATATTTTTATTTTATTAATACATATGTAATTGAAAAAAATGGTAAAACTTTAATAAAAAAAATCATGATTACAGTGCTACCCTGTGTTTAATGGCATCTTGAATATTGGGACGGATCTTTGTGTTTTGTTGCTTTTGTATAAACTTAAATCTAAATATAACCTAGTTAATAAATAATATCATGTTAGATCACTATGGACCCAAATTAAGCAAAGCTTGATTACTTTATAGTTGTTTTTAAGATTTACATAATATGACTCTCCTTAAAGTCTAATGAATGAGCTAGGTTTTGCAGTTTTGCTATGCTGAAGCGTATTAAATCTACGAGCTACAATATTGGCATTAAACTCGCTTTTTTGTACGGATCACTCTTAAGTGTATGCAATAAGTAGTATTTAAAAAAAATATATTACATAAATCACTGAGCTCAAGGAGTTGTGCCAAAGGCACCTAGATATCGCCAGTCGCAGAGTGAAATCTGTTGCTGTGGAGGTTTGGCCGAAATGCTTACCTACATTTTTTTATATCATAATAACTATTTTTTTTTGTCTTAAAATAAAACGCCACGGCCAGGCTATCGCATTTCGCATCCTGCATTACCATTTTGCTAGCCTATCCTTCTAATACAAAAATATATTATTCTTGAAGGGTCCTACTTAGATAAGTGCTTAACAGTAACTTAAAAGTTATTTGAAAATAATTTTACGTTCATCGTTTTTTATACATTACTAGCTGACCCGGCGAACTTTGTTCCGCCTTAATGGCAATAAATAAGCCGACTTTTTTTTTATTTCGAACGGGATAAAAAGTATCCTATGTCCTTCTCCTGGCTCTAAACTACCTCCCTGACAATTTTCAGCTAAATCGGTTCAGCCGTTCTTGAGTTATAAGTGGAGTAACTAACACGACTTTCTTTTATATGTTACGGTTAATGTGATAAATTTAAAATTATTAATAATAACCGGTTATTATGAATAATTCCCGACAGTCGCGGTGAAACTGATAAATTAATCACATTTAACAGTGATTATTTAATAATTTAACCTTAGTACTAACAAATTTCATAAAAGAGAACAACATCTTGTGTACGTGCTCGTGTACAGCCAAACTTTTGAACGTTTTGATATCATATATTAATATTTGGCATAATGAGTTTGCAATGTTTTTTGCATAATATTACTTTTCCATGATGCCTTTAACATAATGTTTTGATTTAAAGTGAAAAATAGGTTAAGGTGCGGCGGGGGTGGCCCTTGGGCCACCCCTAAGCCGCCTATTTAGTTTTATACACACATAAATGACCTCATATTAATCACATTTACCAAATCGTGCGGTAATTATTCATAATAACCGGCGATTATTCATAATTTTCACATTTATCACTTTGACCGTAACATATATATATAGATAAATTATTAATTTATAATCGATTAAGGTTATCGACTGTATCAACGGCACGACGAGCAATGCTAGATCACATCACTAGTGACAGTCTTTCTGTGGTGCATGTTAAAACTCAATGTTAAAAAAAAGCTTGTAAAAATGTCTATGGTGATCATGAATTACGGCAGGATAAATCTATAATTTGTGACTCATAACACTGAGATAAGCATTAAACTTAATCGTTAATGTCGAAAAATATTGTTTTTGAGGGCTGGCTGACCAAATCGCCACCCTCTAAGCGCATATGGAGAACGGTAAGTGAAACATTCCATTGAACACTCACCTTTGTTGACAGATTGTGTGCAAGCTTTTTGTAGTCTGGCCTGAAATTGTTTTGGTAACATAATCATTATTCAAGCTGATTTTCAGTATTTGTGGGTACTTACATTAAAATGTGCATAATTTCATACCGAGCAGAAATGGCGGAGAAGGTGGTTTGCTTTGCGGCAGTCTGGGGAGCTCCCAGGGCAGTACTTCTTAGATTACTATGCGGACCGGAATTGCAGGCGGCTCAAGGGCACCATCAACTTAGATTTGTGTGAACAAGTATGTCAACTATTTGTTACTTTTACTCTCTCAAACACGAATTACATTGGAACAAAACACTCAAAACACAAAATCAAAACATATTTATTCAAAGTAGGTAGGTACCTCCTAATCACCATTATTGTCATTACATTAGTTAGTAATGTTCAAATTCTCCAATTAGTTGTTTTTTTAACCAAATCAAGATGTTTATTCATACTAATTAGTATATTTTGCCCAACTGATAAGGTAAATATAAGCTCTTGGGTAATCTTTTTTTAAATGTCATGTTTTCACAACAAGTACCTCTCCTATAACTTATTGGTGTATAACTTTCATAAACACATTCAAAAGTAAGTACATTTTACTCCATAAACATAATCACAATCACAAAAATTCAATACAAAATACCAACATAATAAACTGAAAATGTGTTTGACAATACTGCAGTACATCCCTCCTTGTCATGCCTATAAAGGTGTAGATACAAACCTATCACAACATCTTTCTCATTGACTAATAAAATATAACACATCCCATTAGAAATTGTAGGGATCAAGGTGAAACTGAACAGTCTGTGCCCGACAGGGAAAGAGGTAGGATCTCTCCCCTATTCTCTCAACACTTCACTAACTGATTACACATCTTTTGCAAATAAAACAACTTATTCAACTTTAACTTCAATAAGAATAGTGGTGATAATGTGAAAATGTTGTGTTCTATTCAATTGATATAGTAATTTTGCACTAAACAATGAGAATTATGGTGAAAACATCGAATTGTTGTGCTAGCTTAAAGTAATACTGTTGAGTATTAGTCTATTTTCCTGCTAATTACATATTTGACTTTAGTTGTAGCTTTTATCATTATTTATTAATACTGTTATGCCAATTGGAATTTCCCATCAAACATTTAAAGAAATATTTGTCCAATATTTCCTGTTAATTATGCAGAGCACTAAATCTTTGCAGTTTTGTTATACAGTTTTTAGCTTAAACTTAGATCTCTGTTACTTAATTTAGTTTCCCCTCTCACTAATTTCTGTCAGCAGTAATTTCTTGCATCAATGCAAAATTTTAATTTAACAGTTCAACTATAACTGACTTAGCAATAATCTAGTTTGATGATAATGATGTGACTCGTTATTAGGCACAAAATATCTTAAAGTCCTATACTTTGAGGAGAACTACACACAGTTTAGATACCATTTAACTTTTATGTTACCTATAAACATTTTAACATTTTTGGAGGTTGATGCTGGTTTGCATATGGAACGTACGGGTGGCAATGGTGCATTAAATCCGAAGCTGCGCGGTTCAGTGTTCACCATACAAACCCAGTCACGGACATATCACCTGGAAGCCGATTGTGAAACAGACATGGAGAGATGGGTGGATGCTATCTGCCGGGTCTGCGGCCTCCGGGCTACTGAAGATACTTCAGAGGAAATAGGTAAATGTTTTATATTATTTAACTTTATCCTCTAATATTTATAGATCCTGCTTTGCTTCTGGCACAGTTTATATTTATGGAGAATAACTACCTGTTTATGTAAATGTATTTTATCCTATAGATTTGCTGAGTTGATTTCATAAAATATTTAGCTAAATGATAATAACATAATCTATTCATGAGAGAACCATTTTCTATTTTACATTTGCTGAAAGATTTCAAATGTTAGAATTAATTATGGTACACACAAGTATTCAGATTCTGGAACAGACCTTACAGTTTTGTGCAATAAATTATAAAATTGCTGGTTTGAAATTTGGTTTTTATGAATATAATTTGACAGGCTGTGTTTAAATTATCAATTCTAGTCATACATTTTTATAAGATGCTTGGCTTTAAAATATACTAATTCTGGCAAGTGCACTTAATGCAAACACTAATGTTTAGCAAAGCGAATTATCTTAGGCAATAGCGAATGGCTATTATCTCCTGGTATTTTGTATTATTGTGACTTTATGCAATATGCTGACTCATGTTTTAATTCAATGCTGATGATGAATATAATTATTGAACTATTGATTATGTGAACTCAGTACTTATGATGATGTGTTTTCAGTTACACACCCACCTATTACGAGTGCTCCAGCGGCACAATATGAACTAGCTGATTCCACTGGGCCCTACATCCCTATATCTGAATGTATCACTGGAGTGCGAGCACAGGTACATATTTTATCTAATAATAATCCAAAATTAGTGTTCCAAGCACAGTACACCTGGTTTTTATTACAAATTTGGATTTTTATCAAACAATCATGCTTTCTGTTAGCAAAGAAAAGTTTATATCAATATGTACACAAATACAGTGCTGTTACTCCANCAGGGAAAAGTCAGGGAATTTTTTCGAACATTTGCAGTGGACACCCTGTTAACTCCGACTTGAGGTCGTATTAGTGCAGATTGCTGCCATATTCTACCACAGCTATGCAGACTGGACAGAACCCAGACATTAACGCTTAGTGCAATATGTTGTAATTTGGTTCCCGTTGGAACCAAATCTGTTCTCATCAGACACTATGGTCTAATTGTTTTATTTGTAATAGCTATTAGTCAGATTAGTACCTGCTTAAAAAAAGAAATAGAAAATAGATTAGATCCATTTGCAATTTTTTTTCATAAACTGAATTTAAATAGAACCATAAAATTGGATTAGGAATTTTTTCTTGAGTCATGGAATTAAGACAAAACCAAGCTTTTTCTTCTTGGGTTACTGGATTAAGACAACCTGTTTTTTCACAGTCACCAGATTAAAATAGAACCAGAAATAGTCTTGGGTTACGGCATTAAGTTAGAACCAGATGTTTTCCCTTTGGGTCACCAGATTGACGTAGAACCAGAAGTTTTCTTCTTGGGTCATCGGATTCTACCTTAGAACTAAGTATACTTTTTTTTCTATAGAAATGAAACAGACTCTTTTCTTTTGGGTCACCGGATTAAGATAGAACCAGAAGTTCTCTCCTCCTTCATGGAACCAGATGGTTTCTTCTCCATAGAATTAGGACTTTTTCTTCTTGGTCTTTGCAGAATAAGGTAGAACTATAGTTATTCTTCGAATACGACGGCATTAATTGCTGCGTATATCGCTGATATATCAACCTAAGCTAGCGCGGATATGCTTCTTCCTAACGATTTCATTACACGCACCGCGCGACACAACGTTATACGCCTAGCGTTTTTCCAAGTCCTGAGCATGTTTGTTTTAAAAACGCAATGCAAAAGCTGTAAGGTAGGTATATTAGCTAGGTGGGTTCTCGGCGTATCAAATACACCTCATAATCCTATCTGAAACAGAATTGAATTTACAAATGGAAACTTCTAGAGTTCTGGATATCATTTACGATTTTTTTCTGTATTTTTATCGTTACAAATTGAAAACAGTGCGTCAATGATGAATGAATTTAGGGGTGGCCGCGCATTTAGCATTTACGTAAGCAGTTTTACGTTTCAAATATGCACATATTGTGCAGCTTATGAATGTACTTTATAATTCATGTTCTAGGATTCGCAAAGAGCTTTTACCTTCGATGCTAAGAACATTGTCACAAGTGCAAGGACGCCGCTTGAGAGGGTAGCCGACAATCGCGACAATCAGATGTACATTAGTCAGCCCCAAATTCGGCTCCATAACGCAGATCTGTCAGAGAACGAGTCAAATCTGAGTGAGGAGGAGTGCCGGTCACTCAATGCTAGTCAATCCAACATACGTAAGTAACTTGTTTATATTCATCTTGAGACGTTTTTTTTGCATTCAATTTGGTTT